AAAAAAAAAAAAAAAAAAAAGACTGGAAACGTTAACCTTCCCTATCTTCCCTTTGTGCCTTGTAAACATTTCTCTTCCTGAGGTACCTAATCCACAAGGCCCTACTGAGAGCCTTGCTGAGTAGACTCTGGGACTGTTGGCTGGAGGGGTCGGAAATGGCTATTTATAGAGGTGACCTTTCTTCCCCTCCCTTAAGTTTCAGGTTTCTACAGGTCTTCTGCTCTTGCTTAGGGAAGAGGAGGAGGGGAAAATGTCACAGCTTAAGAGGCTGAGAGAAGCAGCCATCTCATAACTATCCAACCATCTTGCAGCTATGCTGTTATAGTCTTCAGAAGGAAATCTGAGGTACCGCATGGGCAGCTACTGCGGCAATCTCCAAGCTAACCAAGTAGTCATGACACTTCCGAAAGTTCCACATGAGCATCTATCAAACAGGTGGCTCTGGACTGAACTTAGGGAGTAATATGGCAAAAGGTCTTAAAGAACCAAAAAAGGATTAGGAAAGGTAAGCTCTGTGCTACTCAGGCGCAAAAAGCCACTCCAGGGAGTAAGGGGCCATTTAGGAACTGGTAGAGTTAAGGAATGGTCTTGTGGGGTGAGTGTACACATAATTAGGGGAGAGTTCACTGTGAGTTCCAAACAGGGACTGAAAGAGAGGGTAAACATCAGGGGATACGCTCTCTTAAAATGTTAATAATAAACACTTCCACCCAGAAGCAAAGGGACTTAAGGAGCTAAGTATAGTACTAGAAGGAATCCCAAGGCTAGTCCTCAAAACACATCCATCTCCACAGTGGAAACTTAACCTGATGGCAAGAGACATGGAAACTTGGGTGGAGAGTATCTGGCGATGGGTAGGGATGGGGGGAATCCTACAGGGAGGTAAGTCAAGTTACTCAGATCTTTGGAATCTGATGCTCGTCCTTAAGCAGCCAAGGCCCCAGGGCACCAGGGATTCCCCTGTAGCCCAGGGAGTCTGGTGACCTTTGTAGGGAAAGAGAAAGGATACAGACAGGCAATGGTGGAGTTGATGGTATCAGACAGATCTTCAAGGGAAGCTACAGAGATTACATTTTTACAAAGGAAAATATTCAACCACTCTAGCTGATACTCATCCCCTCCTTTTTCTGACATTTTTAATCAATTTTATTGAAACCCTCTCATTTTCCTTTGTCTCCAAACTTGTACAACTCTTCCCTATTTTAGAAACACACACACATATACATAAAAATAAAAACATCCTTCAACTCTGATAATCTCTCTAGCCCTTCTTTTTCTGTCCTTATAACTATAAAACTTCACAAACCAGGCCTTTTCCCACAGCTTTCATTTCCTAATCATCCATCTCTCTTTTTCTTGAGACGGTCTTAGTATGTTGCCCTTGGTAGAGTGCCGTAGCGTCACAGCTCACAGCAACCTCAAACTCTTGGGCTTAAGCGATTCTCTTGCCTCAGCCTCCCAAGGAGCTGGGACTACAGGCGCCTGCCATAATACCTGGCCATTTTTTTGTTGTTGTTGCCATTGTCATTGTTGTTTAGCTGGCCTCAGCCAGGTTTGAACTCACCAGCCTTGGTACATGTGGCCAGCACCCTACCCACTGAGCTAAGGGCACCGCTCCATCCATCTCCTTCTCAAAGCCACCCATGCTATTCATCACCAAGTTTAGTGTTCTGTTTCTAATTTCAGGCTTTTTCCCAGCTTCACTCTACCTGCCCATTGCCACCCATTGCCACCATAGTAATCTTCCACAGACATCACTTTTATCACGCTTTTTTCTATCCATGAACCATAACAATTTTTCGCAGCCTCCTGAATCAAGGCTAAATTTTTAAGAACCTTTGTAATACATCCTCTATTTAACCCAGGGGTCCTCAAACTTTTTAAACAGGGGGCCAGTTCACTGTCCCTCAGACTGTTGGAGGGCCGGGGGACAAGTTGGCTGCCAAGCAGGACAGGCAGTGGCGGCAAAAACACGCGGCGGGCCAGATAAATATCCTAGGCGGGCCACAGTTTGAGGACACCTGACCTATCCATTTTCAGCAGTCTTCTAACATTCTTGGCTGTTTTATTTATATCTTTTCTATCCAGCTAGAATCTTGCTGCTAGATTATATGCATCTGGAGGGCAGAAGCCAAGTCTTTTAAGTTTTGAAGCGACTCCATACTTTATAAAGGTTTAATTATCCCAAGGTACCCTTGGATAGTGTGGCCTCCCAGATAAAAATTCTTTAACACTTAACGTAAGACAACCCTTTCACCTGAAGGACTGGATAGACTTGAGAGACAGTTACTAGGAGGGCAAGGTACCTCAAGTATTAGGCCATTTCATGTCCAAGATACAGTTTACACGAGTTACAAGTGAAAGCATGAAATGCTCTGCAAAATCTGTCTTGCCCTTCATAAGAAATTTTATATGCTTGATACTTACCTGGCCACTTATTAGAATTATCTGGAGAGCTTTCTAAAAAAATACCAATGCCTGAGCTCTCTCCAGATACTGATTCAAATGGTTTGCTGTAAGGCCCAGGCATTGACATTTTTATAGTCCTCTGGGTGATTCTAAAGGTATAGATGGGTTAAAGACTCTGGTTTAGAAATGCAGGGCTTTTCTGAAGCCCTGCTGGGGTTATGCTGGGGTAATGGTGGAGACAATGCTTGGAGACCAGTTCTAGCAGGATGACCAGAAAGCACATCCCACTCCAAATTCTCTGTCCTCTCCTTCAAATAAACAAACCATTTTGGATTCTTTCATGCCTTTTAGGCCTTGATGTTAGCATAGGCAGGGTCTGCTTATATGTGTGTAAAAGTGAATGTGATGCGTCTCTGAGGTACTGATGTGGAAGAGCTACCTACTCGGGCTGGTCCTAGAGACAAGAGCTCATCATTTTCTCTCTTGTTCCCTGTCCCTTTGTCTTCTTGACTCTACAGGGAACGGCTACCTGTCAACTTCTTTAAGTTTCAATTCCGGAATGTGGAGTACAGTTCTGGGCGGAACAAGACCTTCCTCTGCTATGTTGTTGAGGTGCAGGCCAAGGGAGGCCAAGTGCAGGCCTCTCGAGGATACCTAGAAGATGAGCACGCAGCTGCCCATGCAGAAGAAGCCTTCTTCAATACCATCCTTCCAGCCTTCGACCCGGCCCTGAAGTACAATGTCACCTGGTACGTGTCCTCTAGCCCCTGTGCAGCTTGTGCTGACCACATTATCAAAACCCTTAACAAGACCAAGAACCTGCGCCTGCTCATTCTGGTGGGGCGACTCTTCATGTGGGAGGAGCCAGAGATCCAGGCTGCTCTCAAGAAGCTGAAGGAGGCCGGCTGTAAACTGCGCATCATGAAGCCCCAGGACTTCGAGTACATCTGGCAGAATTTTGTTGAGCAAGAAGAGGGTGAATCCAAGGCCTTTGAGCCTTGGGAGGACATTCAGGAAAACTTCCTATACTACGAGGAGAAGCTGGCAGACATCCTGAAGTAGGAACTGGGCTCAGCCTCACGTGAGTTTTCCTGGTACCATGGGAGAAATTCAGTTATCAAATGTTAACTTGGGTAAAAGGCTTGAGGTCAGGTAGAATGAATGGTATACTGTTAGATTTTCCTTTGCAAAAACTTCATTTCTCTGCTTTTGGTTGGTTGTAGAAACATGTTAGAACATCCTATCTTGTTTGCTCTTTCCTCCAAATCCCTCTCCTTAAACTCTTTTCCCTTCTTCTCTTTTATATCAAAGTAACTTTCCTGTAACTTGTAATATCCAAAGTTGACAGGAATTCTAAAGTTCTGATCAGACAGAATGACCTTTAGTAAGAGTCAGATAATGGAAGAACCTGTTACTGAACAACAGCAGGGAAGAGATTTAAGTCCCCCGAGGACGCCCCTAAGTATGCGTTCAGCCTTAATAACTCCAGACACCTTCAAGATCCTCTGCTCCCACACCCATTTGCAATCTTATTACATTTTTTTCTCATGCAGGTTTTTTATTCCTTCAAGGATAATTTTTTCACTTTTGGTTATTTTTTAAATTCCCCAAATGGGTATATATTCAACTTTTGGGGTGCTAGCCCTGCTTTCATGTTTTCAAGCAAATGCTTTGCAAGAGACTAATAATTGCTATGCAAATGTATAATGCAAGAACATTTTCCTTATGTTGAGAAGACCTCAACAGAACTCTTTAAAAATGCTGAGTACAGATATGGGGATAACATAGCAACACATCAGTCCATGCAGGAATGTTTAAAGGGTTAAAAAGACGTTTGTAAATTAGGCAGCAGTTCAGAAGTAGCCTCTTACAGATGTCAAGAGGTGACAGGAGAATTGGAAGTAAGATTAGCTATTTAAGCAAATAATTAGGACACAATTAAGGCCAATTTGGCCTCTTGCTGAGGGTAAATTAGCCTCTTACAGAAACAGGCCAATTGCCCTCAGGAAGGAGGGTTAAAGGATCCTTTACCAACTTTTTTGAATTTTTTGAGTTTGCTCTTACAGAAATGCTATGTCTAAGCCCTTTACAAGGCTCAAGTTACTGATCAAAACCATCTAGTAACTGAGAAGGTCTTCACCATCCTCTTATCCAACTTTAATTCTGGAATAACTCACATATTAATAAAACATGTAAGCAACATGCTTCATGAAGATAATTCAATTTATTTTTGGTCCTTAAGAGAAGATATTGCTTCATAGACACATTTAGGAAATATCAATGCTCGAGACCTTGATGTTGGCAGGTGTTTCCTATTAGACATGCACCCAGAGTACCTGAGCATTCTCAAACTGAACACTCACCACCATGAAGCCAGGAGTTTTAGCCATTTCTTCCAAAAAGGAGAGCCCAGTCACTGAATTCAGTGGGACTATGGTAGGGTAATACCATGTGGTACTCTGGTACTCTGCTAAAATAAAATAAGTCACCACACTGCAAAGTAGTAAGCAACACTAAAGATTTCCAGGGGTGACCTCTGAAAATGCAAAGTTTTAACTTTTAAAACTCCTTGAAGATTTTTTTAGTGTAAGTAGTATCACTATAATTATAAACCTACATGGATTCTATAGAACAACAACTGGCTGTGTAATTTTAACCCCAGTACATTTTTTCTTAAATATCTGTAACAGTCAAGGGCTATTTCTCCTAGCTGTCTCATTAGTAAGTCCTCTGGGCGTTTCCCCCCATTAACATTAAGCATTTCTTTTCTTTTCCTTTTTTTTTTTTTTTTGGAGACAGAGTCTCAAACTGTTGCCCTGGATAGAGTACTGTGGTGTAACAGCTCACAGCAACCTCCCACTCCAGGGCGTACGCAATTCTCCTGCCTCAGCCTCCCAAGTAGCTGGAATTACAGGCACCTGCCACAATGCCCAGCTATTTTTTGGTTGTAGTTGTCATTATTGTTTGGCAGGCCTGGGTTGGATTGGAACCCGCCAGCTCCAGTGAATGTGGCTGGCGCCTTAGCCGCTTGAGCTACAGGTGCCATGCCTAAAATTAAGCATTTCAAGGAAAATTAAAAAGATTTTTTAATTTTGGATAATTTAGGGATACATCTTATACTAAACAGAAGCAAAAGAAGTTAGTTTGAACAAAAAGTTGATTTCTAGTCAGTTTATAAAGAAATTATATTGGACACTCTCCACATTATAAACCTCTTTCCATTAGCGTATATACCTGTATTACCTGGACCTATTAACATGCTTCCCTGCCTCCTATTTAAGTTGTTCATGTTCTGAACATGAAAAGGTAAGATACATGAAGGAAAAAGTTAAGATATCATCAGGTTTAAAAAAATTGTATGAGTTGTAACCTAAAAACCCAAAAGAACCCCCCAAAAGAGCATTTGTTACACAAAATTTCTCCTATTTCTTATTTCATCTTTTGTTTTTTAAAAATTGACAGAATAGTACTTAACCATACAAATAACTCAAGGGAAGCAAGTTAAAGCAGATCTTTTCCGGATTTCTTCAGTGTGAACCTCACCAAACATGAAAGAAACAAACAAACACATTCCTAGGGAAACCAGAAACTAAAGGAGACTATGGAAGAGAAATTCAGGAACTTGTTACGGAAAGCACACCGAATCTCAGCTCAAAAAAAGATGAGTAATTGTTTCGATCAGCAGGGCTCTAAGTAACATGCCTTTTGTTTTTTTCCACCAAGGTCTGCCTGCTGCCACCAAGAGACAGCAGTGACATGTATAGCCACCTGGGACATGCCTATCTTCCTAATATCACTTGGAGCTGGACAGCATTGAACACTAACCAATCCACCTGGACAAGACCCTTAGAGGACTCAGAATATACTCCTCATGCTGTAATTCATTTAGGGTGTGCACCTCTCTTTAATGCTGCTCTTGGGAAAGAGGGAAGTGACCTATAAGAAGAGATATGCAACCATACATGGGCATCAGGCATCTGTGAGACCAAAGGTCCTAATTACTCCCCCAAAGGGGCTACTTAAGGCAAAGAGTCTAAGACCCAAGGTACAGATCTTTGAAATATGCATTTTATGTTAAGTTGGATTCTTTTTTTTAAGAAAGAAAAAGCAACATTAATAAAAGTAGTGGTGTGGATATCTGTGGCCAGGATTTTTAAGGAACTTAGACATTTGGAAGTTACCGTAAACAGTTAAGTTCCAGGCATAGGAAATGTCCCAGGCTATGAACCAAGCCATGCCATTAAAAGGCGGGAAGGAAGATTAAACCAGGACTTACCTAGACAAGACAGAATATTAACTCTCCCACACAGACTTCCCACAATGGTGACCTTAAAATGTCTTCTCTGAGATTACTGGTAAATGAGGGACTTTTCCCTTCTCCAAAGACATGTAGTATGACAGAAGGTGGAACAAAAAACATGGGAAATTTGTTATCAGGTATCTATATCCCCATTGCCAATTAATAAGCAGTAAGCTTTGTCATTAAAGAGGAGAGGGTAAAAAGTACTTCAACGTTCAGATACACATCATGTAGTATCTGATGGTGATGGCAGGATCAAAAGTCTCATTTCTTAAAGATTTGTTAAAGTGTCCTATGTGGTAGGAAAATGTCACATGTGAATTTTTGGGTGTTTGCCAACTCTTACTAGGTTTCCAGGAATAATGCATCCATTCTGATTATCAGGCCATGCCTCCTTTCCCCAGGCTTCATGTGTGATAAGTCACTGGAATTTGACCCAAGGACTACTACTTGCAAATAACAAAGAACTTTATCACCTTTATCACTTTCCTGCTGAGTCCCAGAATTCCAATTACAGCCAATCCTGGATGAAACTGGGTTTTTTAAAAAAAAGAATCAAGGCTCATATTCTATGAAAAAAAATTATCATCTCTTTAAAAGAAGCCTAGAAAACCAATGTTTCGACCCAAGTTTAACTGTCCCTGATTTACAAAGGTATAGAAGCCATTACATATTTAGTACATCCTCAACTGAACTCAACTAACAGGTTTACTGAGATGTAGCCTCATCATAAGCTGTGGAGCATCTATATTTGCAGAGTTAAACCAACTACTCTAATTCTTTAAGTTTCCTCTCATCACCCCACTCTCATTTTCAATCTTGTATATGAAACATTCTCTTCCTCCTTTTTCCCCTTCAATTTTATTTTATGTGGACAGAAGCAAAGCTTCAAGAAAAGCCTCAGGCTAAAAGTTTGGTAAGAGACATGCCCCTGTATTGCCCCTACCCCAACCACATGGAGAACTTGTCTTGTTTCACACAGAAACAAAAAAGTGAAATACTTTTTAAAAGTGACTGCCTCATATCAAGCTGAAATGTGATAAGAATACAAGTCTAAAGTACGAAGATTATATTTACCCAGTGTTTTCCTGTTGTTTCAACAAGCCCCTTCTAAGACCCAGCTGTTCTTTTACATTTCAGAAAGTAAGAAGTCTTAGAACAAACCCACAGTTCACCCTAGGGAGAAAAATCAATAGCAAGTCTGATTGTTTTAATACTCAACTCCACAGGAAGGGGGAAAAAAGAAAACATTTAGTTTCCCCAATAGCTATGATACTGAACCAGTGCTAAATTCGTGAATTTTATTATCCCTACGAAAACAAGAACACTTGTCTTCTGAGCGTCACAAGAGAGAGGGACTCCCCTTTAGTGCAGTGTTCCAGAGATCCCAGTCGGCTGCACATCAGAATCTTCTTTGGAGTTTAAAACACAAAGAAACCTGGCCATCCCAACCCACCACCAAATTATAATAGCATTTTTTGAGAGGAAGTACGCTTTATTTTTTTTTTAAGAAGATTCATATGGATTTTGTCAGGAATTACTGATTTACTGAGTCACTACTCTGCTAAGCACTATGCTGGGCTCTTAGCATATATTATTTCATTTGTTTTCATGATTAAATTCAGACAGATTCAATCACAGAAACCATGCAGTGGACAGAAGAAAGTAAGAATTCACCATGAGTAGTTCTAAAAGCCGCCTGCCTTTTAACTATTTTGATCCATAGATCTTGTCCATTTTTACCTCTTATTTCTCATCTTGCTACTCATACTTGCTCCCTCACTGGACCCTTCATCTAACTCTTCAAAATTAAGTTACAGGTGAATCCTCCATTACCCAACTCAAGAACAGTATAGATATGAGCATAGAATCTCAACGAACCCCAAGAAAAAAAGGTTTATTTTTCCATTTCTGTCACCACAAATTCCTGGTTAACAATGCAGAATTCAATTCGTAATTAAAACAAAAGCAAGATAACCTGTAATTCTCTCCTAGGGTGAATGTGATGACATAAGGATAATACCAAGTTCAGTTTACAAATGACAAAAGATTCCAAACTAACTAAAATGATCATCCTTCCTGAAATTTCTCTTAAAAAGCAGAGAAGTAGAATCAATGCTGCCACCTAGTGGCTGCGAAACCAAGTAGCCTACAGGAGCAAAACAGATCATAGGCCCAACTATTTGGTTGCCCTGACTAATACATATCAGGCCACTTACTCCTTACCTTTTTGCAAAAATATCAAAACATATCCAAAGCAATCCCTCTTCCAGAGTCCTAGTGCAAATACTGGAATAGAGCAACCCAAGTCTGTCCTGTGACACCAACTACTTCACATGAAACTTTCCTCTGCCCATCTTCAGGTCAGTTTGCCTAGTCATATGGCCCAGAAGATATGATACAGGAGAACATGGACACATCTAAGATGTTCATCTGTTCAGAGTGTATACACAGTAATTTTGATGTCTGTTGCCTCAAATACCTCCTCGATCATGGCAGATACATTTTCCCATTGTAGACGATCAAGACCACACCCAATCCTGAAAAAGACAAAACATTTCCATTGGTGAGATGGAGGTATCTAGTAAATTGCTCCTTCCCTCTTCCTCTAGGCTGTATCCACCTAATGCACAAAAGCAAGTTATCTAGTCTCATAGGCAGCTATGGTAGATGTTGGGAAGTCAATTTTTGTTGCAAGTCACCTAAGACTATCCCTAGACAGCCTTGATATCCAACAGTCACTTCTCTTTGCCCAATAAAGTAACACTTTCCAACTATTTCACTAGGAAATGTGTAACTCATCCCTCTACGTCTGCTGGTAAAAACTGAATGTGGATGGATGAAGAAAGGTTGGTGTTTTAAAACTGTACTTAGGATAATGAAATGTTAAAGGCGATAAGACGTACAAGGGAAAGGATCTCTGCCAAAAGGAAACCTAGATGGAACATTGAGAAATGCTACGCTGGTTGCAATCCGAGAATAAAGTCTTTGCAACACCCTGGTCAGAAACCTCAATCAGCCCATAAAATTCTATCACCTGGCACCTTTCTTCTACGATGTTACTCTTGATCCTCAAAATCCCTAAGGAGAAAAAGAGACTTAAAATTGCTAATTTCAATCATCATGTGCTAATTAAATCCATAAAGAATTGTGATTTTTTTAAGAAAAGTAGTTTCTGATATGTAAGTCATAAATATATCAAATATTAAGATAAGAGACAGTGTAGCCACATTCAAAGTAACATAGGGCTTGCAATAAAATTACTATAGTAACAGGAAAAGGTAAGGTTTCTATTTCCTGAAACAGAAACAAAGAAGCTATTGAACCCTCAATGTCATTCCCTTAAATTCCCAATAGTTAGGGTCCAAAAAGTTACATTAGGGACAGATTTTCAGGCTACTATCCACGCTGACCACATGCAGTATAAAGGCAGTGATAATACAGTATAAAGCATGCAGTATAAAAGGCAGTAATAATACAACTTTCTTGACATAGGATTAGTAAGTTTGGGGGACTAGAAGTGGTCTAAGAGAGAAATCACAATTGCTTAGTCTTAATTTTTGTAGCTTACATTGCTTCAGGAATAGAGGCCAAGCTGCAACCAAAGGATGCTGGGAAATCAACGAATGTGACTGAATAACAATGGTTCCTCCTTACTAAGTAGGTTGAGGCAAGTACAGCGTGTTTCAGTTAATTGTCTTGATTCATTCAGCTCAAGCTAGAAAATGGCTGTGCTTTGGCTTAAGGTCAACTGGTACACTTGCAATTTCACAGAGTTCTGAACTTTATCCACCGTTAAATCTATATTTAGGATTAAGTTTTAAGTTATTTGTCTTTGGGTAAGACAATGAACCCCACCAATTACATCTTCATTTAGGCTCCTGGATTTCCTTGCCTGGGCATGGAGAGGTCCGTGACTCCATTCTTCAGACAATGAGACTTCATGGCCTCTAAACTCTTTTGCAAGTTTTCATAAGTTGGCTTGTGTGAAGCCCTTTTCTTTGTAATCTAGACACAAAGAAAGGATTCGAACTTTCATTATCCTAAAATTATAGCCAATGAAAAGTTATCACATTCCCCCAACATCCTGATTAATTTATCATTATCAGGATGCTATAAAGAGTATTACTGTTATAAAATAATCAGTCTACAGTATGGAAGACAAATGTTATACTGCTCCTTCTACACTATTATGGGAGGCCCTCAGGAAGAAAAACCTAGATTCTGCCATGAAGTAATCTTTCCCTTTTCCCAGGAAACCCACGAGATTAGCAGGTTGCCCCTACTGTCAAGTGTTTTTAAGGAAGGTAAAAGTCTTTGTGCCCCTTCCAAGAGATAAGCAGCGTATCTGTAACAAGGAAGCACCCTTATCAGCTGACAATCCCATAAAAGCCTATTTATTCAGAAACTGTGTTTGCTTGCTTTTTGTTTCTCTATATAAAATTGGAGAGAAAACTGGTAATGTTCCAAAGTAAAAACACAGCTAAGTCACATCACCCTTAAGGACAAAATTCAAAGGGGCTAGGTCATCTTTCCAGTCAGTCTAACTCCAAATCAGGTGGGCAGTTATTAGTCACCTACCGCAATCGCTAAGGAAGCCATATCTTTTCTGGCACCAAATGCCATTTGGACAGTTGGAGAATCCTACACTCAGGCCATAGGCAGAAGAGAAGCTGGGAAATACTTGGCATTGCACTTGGCAAGGAAGAGTTAAGAGAAAAACCCCTTTGAGAAATCTCTCTCTTGCGATATTACTATTTTTACTTCACTGTGAGAGTTAGAAGGCATCCCTAACTTTTCCAAGTCTTAGAACAAGCTTAAGATGAATGGCACAGTACTCTTTCCCACAGACCTGGGATACATTCCTTTGTAACCCACTGCTCCCAGGAGTCAGCACCACTAGACCTAAGTTGTCATGAGATCAGAAGCTTTTCAACATTCCTAGTTGTCCAGAATGGAGCATCAGGAGCAACACAAATGTAGTGCAGCCCATCTGTTCACCAATCTTAAAACATATCAAAAATTGGCCCAGAAAAAAATGGCTCCATCTTACCAAGTAATATATATATCGCCCATCTCTCTTCAGAACAGCCACTTCTCCAGATTTCTTTTCTAAGAACAACAGTTATTTAATAGCAGAAAGGAGACAAACAAAAAGACCAAAACACCAATCTCGATTCTTAAATCTCCATTTTAAATCTTTAGGGATCTGATTTTACCTCAGAACTGGAAATAATTTTCAATGGTGAAAAAAAAACTACTGTGTTCTAAGAGCACTTTGCTCCTTAGCAGCCTTTTCAAATTCTGTGTTCCTTAATAGCTTTTGTACACCCATGCTTCCTCACATCCCATTTTTGCCCTGCCCCTAACTGCAAATATACCCTCATTTGCTCACTTAAAAAACTTTCAGGTTTACTGCCTTGAAATTGGCTTAGAATATATACCATTTTTCACATGCCAAATGTGTTTACTCAATAATGATCTCTTTACATACTAGAGCTGTATAAAGAAAAATTATGAGGAATATAAACATATTAAAAAGTTCTTAATTAAGGCATTTTTCAATCTAGAGAAGGTATCATTTTTACAAACAACTACAATACGAAGCAGTAAGAAATTATGTAAGGCTGATACCAGAATCATCAATGGACACTGATTTACTAAGCCTGAAATGTGGTCTGAGAAATGGTTTCAGAAATTCCACATACATGATTCTAATCCAACCTCTGGTTTTAAGTCATTACTAGAAAGTAATGGGAGGGGTCTGTAAAAAAAAGCTCCTCTTTGGATAAGCAGTATAATTGGTAAGAAAGGGGTTTTAAATGCCAAGCTAATGCCTTTGGACTTTACTAAGCACTTTAGAGTTATCACAGACCTCAGAAAAGTGGAGCAATATTATTAAGAAAGTTTTATGATAGACGAGGAAGAGTAGAAACTTTTATAAGAATTCAGGTTTGGTGTGATAAAGAACCAAACTAGAGGCCAATCTTGTGGAGGAAGTACTCTAAAAGCAATCAATTGTCAGGAATCCCCCTCTTTGTGTGCACATCAGGAAATCAAAACAGGTAAGCTGTTTCCAAAACTCACGCTGATTTAACAGTTCTTGCACCCCTCCAAATTTCTTCTTGAAGAGAACAGCTATCCCAGCACCCATGCGACAATCCTCACTGATACAGTGGGCTAGGAGTCTGTTTGGGGGCATGCAAAAAGGTCTCCTTTCACATAAGTGATCTAAAATTTGCAAAAGAAAAGAAAATGTTTTGTTAGAAAAATACCAACCTCTTTCATTTTTCTTTATTCTGTGACCCCTCCGTAATTTGATTTAAAATTAAATCTGTAGAATTTCATTAAGGAATTAACTACAACGAATTAAATCACGTGTAAAAGGAAAGTGATGGATGATGGTTCCTGTCTAGGATCGCATTAGCCTTTCTTAAGTAAATCAGCGAGAGAGAAAAAAAGACAATTCAATTATTAGTTTAATTAAAGTGTTTATGCTTTTGACCTCAATTATTCTAAATTTCAGTTCACCAATAAGTTAATAGTTTTACGCACTCTGCTTCCTTCTTGATCTTCATTAAGGCTGCTGGCCATGATACTGAGATGGCTATTTCCAGAATGTGTTTCTTCAGCTATGACAAGGGAAAGGAAGTAAAAATGCTTAGGCAGCCTTAATATATTATATTCAGTTTGTCCTATACACCCATTTACTAGTCTTCTCCCGCCCCCCCCAAACGTTTATCGCTGAACGTGAATTTGCTCAGAATCTGGGAATACAAAACTTTTCTGGAGCAAGACAGAGCAAGGAAGCCGAGGTTCGGAAGCGGCAGCGACCTGCTCTCTTTTCGCGCTTTCCTGCAGCGCCCGGCTCCGCCAGTGGCAGCAAAAGCGGTTTTAAGACACGCCTCTTTTCTCCAGGGCCGCTCCCGCGCAAGGCGGTTTTAGGACACTCTTCCTTTTTCTGCACGACGCAAAAGTATTTCCCCAGTGGGCTTAGAAGAAAAAAGGAGGGACGTGGCCACAAGTCCAGTTAAACCTCAACCACAGAAATGACAGGACAGGGACGTGAAGGCATGAGGAGCGAGGAGGCGGCCTCTCAAGCAACTTCACTTCTCAATTGGGGGGTGTGGGATAGGGAAAAAGTCTAGGAAACCTCCCATTCCGTCTCCTGTACTAGGACGGTGCAGCATGGGTCTGTCCCGGGATCCCGTGGGAGGCGGGAGGCGCTCTCAAAGCCCCAACGTACCCGGGTTACCCTTCACCTGCAAAAGAGTCGGCTGCTAGGAGGTCCCCGCCCCGCGGGGAAAGGGCTCCAGTTCCGACCCCGGTAGGTGGGGAGCGGCGAACCAGCCCAGATACAGAACCAATCCCGCTACAGCCTTTAATTGCACGCACCTAAAATGGCCGCCCCCCACCCGGTAGCGGGGCGGAAGCGAGCCCCTCTAGCTAGCGAGCCGGGCCCACACTCTTTGGTGATGGCCGCTGCACTTCCGGCGGTAAATTCCGTGGGTTCCCGCCGCCGCCCGGGCATGCGTAACGAGACTGCCGGCAGCGAGTGAGAGTTAAAGAGCGGCGCTTGCGCATTACCCCCGGAGGTGTGTCCCAGGGACGGCTTGGAAAATGGTGGGCAGTCCGCAAACTGGGCTACTTAGCGCCTGCGTGCTACTATGCTCAAGGGCGGTGTTTGAGTTGAAAGGTCTTGCGTGCCTTGAAGGCGCCTGCGTATTCCTTCGGCTAGAGTTGTAATCTAATCAGGGGTGTGGGCGTGGCTTCAGAAGACGCCTGCGCGCTGCTCTTCCGGGGGGTGGGGCGAGCCCAGAGCTGGAGTTAGGGGGCGTGGTCTCAGAGGCGCCTGCGCGGAGGCGGTTGGAGGGAGGCCCGATTCCCCTTTGTTCAGGTTCGCCATTTTGCGAGGCAGCGGCAGTGGCGGCGGCAGCGGCGGCTGGAGCCTCTGATTGGGTTTCGGAGTCCGGTACTGGAGCCAATCAGCGCGGGCAGCGAACCGGGGGAGCGAGGCACGGTGAGTGTAAGGAGCCAATATCCAGCGGCCCAGAGCCGGCCCCAGCGCCCCGATTGGCGGGTCTTGCTGACCACTCAGGAGAGGCCCAGGCGCCCGTCGAGCCCGGGGAGTCGAGCTGAGCCTAGCCGAGCGGGGCGCCTAGCGGCCCAGTGTTGGGGCCTGCGAGTTCCTTAGGACACGCCCGGCCGAGGCCTGCAGGGGCCGCCCCGCGCGGGATGGCGACCCTGGGAGCAGGCACTTCGGGGACCCGACCCTTGCTGGGTGCTAGTGCCAGTTGGGAATGCTTTCCATTTCCCCGACCCTTAGGCCCAGGTTCTCAGGCCCCAGGTTTACGGGTAGTGGGCTTGTCTGCCACGACTGTCCCTACACTCAGGTACACACGCGCGCCCCGGGCCTTGGCGGTTTCCTCCTGGTCGTTCGGGCATCACACGGAAACCTACTGTTGCATTCGCTACCGCTTCGGCCCTTGAGACGGGAAACCACCTCCCACGGGGTCCGCATCTCCCTAGCCTACGTGAGCCTCATCTGCCTGCACCCCACTGGGTCGGAAGGGAGGTCTCGGGAGGGTGCGCTCTGCGGCCACAGGACCTCGAGTGCAGCGGTGGTCTCTTGAGTGCTGCACGCCTTCCTCCGCGGTCTCGCTGGTCCGGGGACGGGGTCCTTTAGTTTGCCCACTCCTCCAGTCTCTCTGCGCCCCTCCCAGTCCGCAAGCGCGGGTATCGGTCCCGGCGCCGTTACCACCCCCTTGGGCTCGTCATTTCCTCTCTTCCCCGCCCCACTCTCGGTGGTTGAACCGCACACTTCGGTCTTGGAGCCCAACCAAAAAGTCTCCTTTTCTTGCCTGAGCTGTAAGGCCAGTCCACTTGGTCCCTAGAACCTCAGCCTTAGAGAAGATTGATAGCCCTGTGCATTCTTTTTCCTGGAGGTTGCACAACTTGCTATTCTTGTTACTACTTTTTATCATTCTGTGAATTCTTCGGGAATATAGTACAGTATTTTTTTTTTCTTTTTGCTTTCACCTTTCCATGTCACTTTGACTATGTCAGGCTAGGCTCAGTCCTTGCACGTCTTGGTTTGTTTTTTTTTCTGATACACTTTCTAATTCCGTGTTAACGTTTTTCCAGCAGATAACAGAAATTTAAGAGTGTTGTGTGTTTTTTTAGGATGAGAGTTAATGAAACCAATTATCCAACAGTATGTGCCAGGCATCATCCGTGTGCTGAGGAGGGGGAGTGAGTAGAAGTGAATAACTGTGCCTGCCTTCTGGTGATTGGCAAGTGAACAACTAATTATTACCTAACGGCTAGAGCTATAAAGGAATAAAGTTCAGTGCTGTAAATTGTTGAGGCCTGATATAGCAACAAACATTTTGAAAGCGTCTGTCACCACCAGAGTTTTGATTGGCTTTGACAGATGATGGGATTTCTTAAGGCAGGAAAGATGGAAGAGCATTGCTTATGGAGAGAAAAGCATATGTAGAAGCACAAATGGAGCTGTGTGCTTGAAGCGGAAAGATGTGATAGGGAAGTAGGCCATAGTAGTGAGAGTTTAGGCAGGAAAGCTCAGTAAAAGACACTTGTATATCTTGCTAAGGAATTTTTCAGAAGCAATTATTCTGGAGGTGCAGGTAGAAGGGCTCTAGAACTACTGTATATGTTTTGGAAAAAAACAAGTTTCTGACTTAGAGGTTTTGCACCATAACATTGACTTCTTTTGGAGAAGGAAAGATTTTTGTAGTAGTACTGTAACAATTGTTTTTACTCATGTGAAGTCTTCAGTACATTCCCTGACACATAAAGTAGGTTGTCTGGTTTTGAAATCACATTTACTAAGGTCATACAATTAGCAGGTTTCAGGAAACTTGTAGTCCACTGCTCTTCCCAGAGCTAAAACTTTGGAGACAGTTTTTGTTCTCAGTTTTTAGAATAAGTTTTATTTTGTTGTTTAAATATTTGTTAAGTTCATTTCATCCCTATGTCATCCACACTGATCTATGCATGTGCAGGTTACATTTGCCTTTGGAATAGATGTTTTAACCTTGGTATTTAAAATGGGTATATGTAGTTGCATCAAAACCACCAAATACTTTTCCTTAGGCAGCTTTCTAAAAGGCGTTTATAATATGGTCACTTTTTTGCTAGACATCTCTAGAGTCTCGATTTGTCTGCACATGAACCTCTTTGCCTAGCATTTTTGAGAGACAATAGTATAGTCCCTGACTTTTCTCTGGATCACCACTCATATGCCAAAATTTTTCTGTTCCTGTTTTCATGCTCTCTAATTTGAAATACTTTACCCATTCCCACATTGTACATAGCCAAATTCTTCTCACACTTAGAGCCAGTAAACTTTTTCCTAAAGCTCTTGTTGATTTATCCTTAGCTAAAAGAAATCTCAGTCCTCACAAAGAAATCACTTGCCTCCAAACCCCACATCATTTTTTTTTCCTTAGTATTCTAGTACAGATTTTTTACTATGTTACTAAAGTTAAAGATTCTTTGAAGTTAAGATCTTTATCAGGAATTTCTTTTTATTTATTTTGCGTTTTTGTAGTGATAGAGTTTCCTAACCCTGACCTCAAGTGATCCTCTTGCCCCAGCTTCCCAAAGTACTAAGATTACTAGTGTGAGCCACTTACTTTTTTACTTTTAAAACCTTTAGAACAACGTCTGGAACATCATTAGTGGAGAGAAGGAGCAAATTAGGAAGCTCCAATCCAGAAATCTGGGGAAGTTGGACAGCCCTTTGTCATCTAGTCTAGTCTTATTAAACATGTATCAGAACCCATTTGTTTAGTTGTGAAATAAATTGAGCGAGCCAGTGCTGCTGCTAATTTTTTATAATAGAAAATATCACAATGCTAAATCCTATGTTATATAAGGATACATATTGTTTCAGGAAACTTTTGTTTCAGTTGCATGAGTGCATTCTTGTGTGCACTGAGTTAGAATACCGAAATGTGTTTCTTACTGTGGGTTGGTCCAAAAAGTTAGAAAGGTACTGTTACTATTCTACTCCTTGCCTGGTAATATTTGTCAAATATGATTATCTGAGGGCTTTTCCAGAACTTATAATAGTTGAGTTTCTGGAAATTTTAGCTTTTTTTTTTTTTTGAGACAGAGTCTCAAGCTGTTACCCTGGGAGTGCTCTGGCGTCACAGCTCACCGAAACCTCAAACTCTTCGGGCTTAAGTGATTCTCTTGCCTCAGTCTCTCAAGTAGCTGGGACTATAGGCATCTACCACATCACCCTGCTATTTTTTTGTTGCAGTTGTCAATTGTTTTAGCTGACCTGGGCCGGGTTCGAACCCGCCAGCTTTGGTGTATGTGGCTGGTGCCCTACCCACTGAGCTACAGGTGCTGCCCTGGAAATTTTAGCTTTAGGGTGTGTGTAGGTTCACATAAAATGGGTTCTTAGTGGTTGACTAAATTTCAGATTCTGCACCTTGAAATGGTGGGGCAGAGAGGCCATAGGAAGAGAATTTTTATGCTAGCCAGAATAAACATAATGCTGTCCACTGTCTTTACTGATTCTCTCTTTGAGGAAAAAATAATTCAAACTTTGTGTTAGGCGTAAGCTCTGGACAGACTAAATCAGGTTGGCTTAATTTTGTCATAAGCTTGGGCAGAGAAACCTCAGGAAAGACAGTATGTTAAATTATATTGCAGTTCTGGTAACTCACAGTAGTAGTAACATATGGCTTCAGTGAAGCCAGTTGCTTTTAGAATTCACCTTTTTTTGGAGACAGAGTCTCACTTTGTTGCCCTCAGTAGAGTGCTGTGGCGTCACAGCTCTCAGCAACCTCCACCTCTTGGGCATAGGTGATTCTCTTGCCTCAGCCTCCCAAGTAATTGGGACTACAGGTGCCCACCATAATGCCTGGCTACTTTTTCTTGCAGTTGTTACTGCAGTTTTAGCTGCTTGGGGCCAGGTTCGAACCCGCCACCCTTGGTATATGGGGCCAGTGCCCTACCCACTTGAGCCACGGGTGCCAATATCATGCTACAGCTGAATCACTCCCTCATTAATGTGAGAGAATTGCTAGTAGATTTGAAGCTGTTCCTTTTTTACCCTTCAAAGTACAAAAGATTTGAATGTTCTTAAGTTGGCTTATTTGTATTACCAAGATAAACTAGTAAAGAAGAAAATCTGTATAATGTTGTATCTATTAGCTACCATGTACTTCATGTTATATTTTAGTCTTATAAGATGTAAATTTCTGGAATCAGTGGAGGAAGAATCTCATACAGGAAGGAGGTTCAAGGATGGGGGTACTGAAATTCAAAAGACATTCCTTTTATGATCCTTATTGTTTCATCAGTTGAGATGGACACAAACTCACAAAATTGAGTTTGGACACAAAATGTGGTTATCTTATGTGTGCCCATTGATGAGTTTGGATAAATTTATACATGTAAGCAACAACTACCATAATGAAGATGTAAGATATTTTCATTAGCACAGGCATTTTCTAATGCTCCCTCTTTCCCATCC